TTTTTTTTTGTTTTATCTTCTTCCTCCTAAGATATAAACAAACTCGTCTCATTGCCTCTTACCATTCTATCAGTTTAGATTTCACCTAAGTCACTATGACACTCATAAAACTCAACCCAAAACTCATGAAACTTTAAACTACTTTGATTAATAAAATTCACCATTTGATTAGCGTAGAATCAATACATACAAATCACTTCCTCCTTCTTCACCTCCCTATTATTATTTAGAAGAAAATGCTTTATCATCAAGAAATCAAAGAAAATTCAAAACTAGGGGTTTATTATAAAAATGAATAAAGTTTTGGGGAAATTTCATAATTTTTAAATGAAAAATATCTAGTTATATGTTAGTGACTAAACTAAGACTGCGAAGAAAATTCAGTGATGAAATTTGTAATTTACTCAATATTTAAATATAATAGTTATAAAAAAAAGGATAAAAGACACAAATAATCCTCGATTATATGATTTTTTTTTAATCAGTCAATTGTAATATAAAATTAATTCAGTGATCCGTTTATGTTTAAAAATAATGATGATTCATTTATAACTTATTAATAATTGAGTAATATATTATATTTTATTATTTTTTAAAACATATTAATCTTTTTGGTAAACCATTTGTATGAACTCTTAATTATTATCTCTTTTTGCTTTGATAATCTATTTTGAAATTTTATCAATTAGACTATTTAACTATTTATGTGTGACAATCAAGTCCTCTATCGTTATCATTTAGCGTAGGAGGTGACACGACTATTAAAAAATTGGTATAATTACACATTTGGTCCTCAATATTTATACATTCTATCAATTTAGTTCAAATTTTAGTTCAACTAAATAAATTTAATCTCCCAATTAGATATTGACATGTGTCAGGTTACTTTTTGTTCAGGTTACTTTCGATTTAGATTACTTTTTATTCAAGTTACTTTCGGTTCAAATTACTTTTGCTTCATGTTATTTTTGGTTCAAATTTGTATCAGTCCAATTAAAATTTGAGTTGGTTTCGGTTTAGATCGATTTCTACTTGGATTTTGGATCAAATTTGAGTTATCATTTTGGGTCTATATCAAATTAGCAAAATCGATTTGGATAATCAAATTTGTGGTTACAAATTTGATTATTACTTTTGATCTATTGATTGAATTATCAGCATCGAAAATGACTTGATCAAAATAAAAAATATTGGTTTATTGTTGGACTTCAAAACCATCAAAACTAATATCCTCATAGGTAACTGTTGGGACCGTCGGTGCACCCCATGGCGCAATAGAAATAAAACACGATGGTCTCACCAGCGATCCAAGTACGTTAAATCCAAAACCTAGAGGAAGGGATGTGATTACTTACATTGGGTTCCTTGTAAATCAGCAAAGACAACATCGACTATTGATGATCACGAATGTTTCGAATCCTAGTCTCCACGAAAAGTGTCTCAGCCTCTACTCAGTTCACTCGATTGAGAGCAACATTTAACTTTTCCCAAAAGCAGTTTTGAGAAAACAGCTGAAGATTAAGTACGGCTGCTAGACCTCACTTATCTTTAAATACCTGAGTTACCCTAACATATTAGCGTTTTGTTATTTCGAATTAATTAAACTCTTATTTAATTAATTCAAATTAAATATCCATTAAAGACTTATAATCCGAATTACGCTCTTTAATGTTTATTTAAACTCTTATTTAATTATTCCAAATTAAATATCAATTAAAAGAGTTGTAATCAGAATTATTCTTTTAATGTTTACTTACTATATTCAGGATAATTAAAATCATATGTATATCAGATATACATATATTAACTCTAGATATATATTTCAGTAACGTACAACAAATATACATCTTTGCTAATTTCAAACCTAGGGTGTGACCTTGTAGTTTCTTGTAACATTGGTAGTAATTATTAGAACAATTCTAATATTACAAACAATGAGTGACATCTAGCAATATATCATTGTCATCTAAGTTACAAGAAATTGTGATTCAACATATTATCTTCGTGATTATCTCTTTTATGTATTACATCATTTTGTCCTTTATATCTAGAATAGTCACAAGTCTTGGAATAGTCACACTTGTATAGCCTATCTATTGTTTCTTGATATCTAGAGTAGACTATAATTAACGAATAATTTGTGATATCAAGTGGTTTGTGATATATTTCCTATTATGTAGGAAGGACAAATCCTATCTTAATCATACACACTCCAATACATATACCAAGATATATTCAATAACAATCTTTATAGTGCAATCAGTTACAAATTAAGCATATTTAACTGTATCAAAACATACAACAACATATGTTGAGATAGTAATGATCTCAAGTATGAGGATCATACATATAGCCATCGCAATGAGCAATGTTGTGACCGTCACATAATAATCCAAGACATATGCTCATACTGGGTCAATCCAATACATTGTTCTCTAACAATATAATCATGTATCAATTCTGACATATGTTGTTGTATCAATTCAGTGATTAGTATCGAAAGTAGCTCGATCGAAACAATAAATATTCATTTATCAATGGGCGTCAAAGCCACAAAAAAATATTAATTTCTCGTTTTATCTATTGGTTTAGTGGTTACTGGTTACTATCGAAATAACAAATTTTCATTTATTGATGGACGTGAAACCACAAAAAATAAAGTTGTACGCTTAAAACAGAAATAAATTCAGTAGTAAAGAGAACTATGATCAAATCTACATTGGACTGAAAAATAATATTTTCGGAATTTAGTATACAACATTTTATAATTAAAGAATTATTTTATAATTTTTAATAGTTAAAAAATCAATAAAACATCGTTTATTAAGATATTAAAGAAATAAATTAAAATTACAGTACATATTATGATAGACCAAACTAATAATAAAAGAATTATCCTCCCAGTTAAGATGTCAGCTTCGACGTCGAAATTGATAATGAATTACAGGTAATTCTTCACTCATTTGTTTAAGAGATGGTGAACGCCCCATCACTACATGGGAAGAAATGAAAGCCATTATGAGGAAAAGGTTCGTGCCTACTCACTATCACCGAGATCTTTATCATAAACTACAAAACTTGAAACAAGGAAACAAGAGCATTGAAGATTATTTCAAAGAAATGGAGATAGCCATGATCCGAGCCAATGTGGATGAAGATAGAGAAGCAATAATGGCAAGGTTCTTATCTGGCCTAAATCTTGATATTGCTAACCTTGTTGAACTTCAGCATTATGTAGAGATTGAAGAGATGGTGCATGTAGCCATGAAAATTGAATGACAACTTAAGAGGAAAACCTACAATCGGAGCAGTCCAAATTCGACCACCAAATGAGCCTATTACCTTCTGGAAACAAACTCCAGTCCAATCAAATGATCGTACAGAGGTACCCAAAATTATACAAATGGGCGAATCTAGCAAGGGTAAAGAAAAGCAAACCACACTTTCAAGAGATCAAGATATATCAAATGTTTCAAGTGTTTTGGAAAAGGGCATGTTGCTAGTCAATGTCCCAACTGAAATGCCATGATGTTGCTTGACAATGGAGATATTGTATCAGATTATGATGAGCCTATTTTTGATGAAGAACCTGAAACAATGAAGAAGAAGAAACTGAAGAAAATACAGATCATGGTGAGATGCTTGTTTCGAAAAGGTGCCTACAATCACAAACATCCCAAGAGGATATTCAAAGAAACAATATTTTCCATACAAGATGCCATGTCAAGGACAAGGTTTGCACAATGATCATCGATGGAGAAGTTGCACAAACGTAGCCAGCACTCTTATGGTTGAAAAACTTGGATTGGCAACGTCAAAGAGTGCTTCCAAACGATGATTTTCTACATACATAAAGACTTGAACTTGAGAATCTACTCTAATCAATATCAAACTACTTATCACTTAGATTAACCCCATTAGTAGAAAATTAAATCTTTAATGTGTACTTCCAAACATTGGATGAAAAACCATCACATACATACAGTAAAGGTAATGCTAATTCGTATATGTGTATCATGTTCGTGTTACATATTTTTAATTTCAACAATGAATTGCAGCTAATGATTATACCAAATCTTATATTTCTATGGAGGGGAAGAGAGAAGAGAAACATAGGTGAAAGACCGAAAGATTTTATAATAACTTTCATGCTAATGTCAGATATAGGATTATATAATACTTAAATCCTTATCAAAGTTATAATCTGTTAACAGTAACTTTATCTATAATAAATCATATAAGTGTATTAGAAGTCTCAAAATGTACATGTTAATGTGTGTTTTTGTAAATAACAAAAAATTAACTTTAAACTTAAGAAAGCTAGACAGATGATTATCCTACCCATTAAAATATTCACCATCTGTATATTGCTTATCAGATATACATCAAGTTAGATAGCATGTTCCATTGAACACAATCCACTATATATCTTCTTAAAACTCGAACTACAGCAACCAAACTCTAAAACCATAGCAACAACTCGAACAAATAAGAAAATATATGCATTAATTCCACGCAATAAGCTCTACACTATAAGCTATCTAATAACAGATATTAATTATTTTCCAAATATCGAACACCGAGTCGTACACAGCAACATGTTGCTAATCGATCTTCCTTCCCAGACTTTTTATGCTCCTGCTTCCAGATGGAGTTCTATAATATGCAGGCACAGTAAGAGGGAAGAACATTTGTCTCACTCCTTCGAACCATATAAATGGCAGAATAATACTTGATGCAACCTGAAAAGCAACAAATATAGAACAAGTTAATGGTAATAATCTGCATATTTACATCATGTTCGTGTTGCATAAGAACTGTTTGGTACAGATATCGACCCAAAGGAGTCTAGCCCCGTTCCACAATCGTTTCGGAGAAGGAAACGGAAGCAACAATCGGCCGACACCGTAAACTGACATGGCAGAGAAATGAAACGCCAAGCTTAATGGACGAGGGCATAGACCGGATAATATAGCCGATGGTCCGGTCGAAAATATACCTCCGAGTCTCAAGTACCCGAAACATGTCTGTTGTAGGTCCTCCATTACAGGACTAGATGGGGCACTGAACACGATCTGTAAGACGTTTGCCAGTGTGTTTATCGTCGATGACATCGGCTGCATTTGGTTAAAGTGAGAAATTATGTCGTCTTACTCTTGATTGACATTCGTTTTCAAAATGTATATGGAATACGTAATGTAGTTCACCTTCCTTAGAGTGTAAAAAGACTCAAGATATTTGCAGACCGCGGATGCATCGGATAGATTATGCAAGGGTCTTATGAGATCACTCAGTAGAACAACATCAGAGAGTGCAACCGTCATTCCCCCTCCCGTTATAGCGTGCCGGGAATTGACCGCATCGCCTATCAAAAACGCACCGGGAGTCGGGCGTGGATCAGCAGCCATGATTTTGTTCGGCATTATTCTTATGTTATCCTCCTTCTCTATTGCAGAAATCAAGGCAGTGTACATTTCAGGAAGAGCCTGAAATCAATGAATCATAGTGTTACTCCATAGATTGAGCAAAATTCCCTAAAATATAACAAATATGTGGACAGTAATATTTGGGTTATGACGGATGGTTCATTTTTTTTATAATTTAGATAATAAATTATAGTTGGTGGCTAAACATTAGCTGATATATAGTTACTGTTTTCATCTAAAGTGAGAGGAAGAAGTAAAGAGGATGGGTTATAGATTTCTCGCAATTTTAATCGAGAGGTTTAATAGTTACTTCTAATGTTGATGTCAGACATAAAATTATGATTGTTATTTGTAGTAGTTACCTAGGTCTATCAAATATGATATTAAAAAGTTGTTGACTTCTCGAGAGATATAAACTCTTGAGACTTTAGGTACAAAGATGTTCTCTCGAGACTTAAACTACAAAATCATTTTAAAGAGATAAATTATCGAGACTAATATAATAAGTTTTCCTCTATATTTCTCATAAAAACAGAGGAATTGGACATCAGACAATCTACGAATAATCATTGATTATAACTCTCCATCTAAATAAAAAATAAATAAAAATAAGCACCCTATAATTTTCATAAACTAAATAATACTATCAACACAAATGAAATAAGATGGATCCAAATACCTTGGGAGCCACCCTAGTTTTCAAGTAATGGGCCATTCCACCATCGGAAACAGAAGGTACATGCTGACTGGGTATATCAACCAAGCATCGAATTTCAGTGCTGCTAATGGGATAAAACAGGATTGGTGAAGGTTCTGCTAATATAATAGCTCCATAATTTTCATCCGGTAGCTTACAGTTCGTCAGGACTAAACCAGCAAAATGAGAAGGAATATCAACCTGCACAAACAATCAACACCTTTACATATACCTTTTCTTAAAACCATACAATTTTACAAAACTTCCTAGGCATTCTTCACCTTGGGGTTGCAGAGAGAGCGTCTCAAATTCGAGAAATAACCGTCGCAGATGACGGTGAGGGGGGAGCATAAGCCGTCAGCAGTTGGCCGCTCTTGTCTTTGTAGTGCACTCCTTTAACGGTCCCGTTCTCTTCAATCAGTGATGTTACTGCCCCTTGCTCTAGACTCACTCTGCATTCGCATATTCACATCCAAATAAATGTCGTGATATTGTATGCCGAAATTGAAGAAAGATTGAGTTGAAGAAGATGAAGTACTTGTGAAGAGATGCAGCTTTGTTCCGCAACCTTTGAACGAAACGACCATTGTGAAAGTTTCTTCCTGCAACATGGGACTCATACTTCTCCAGAGGAAAAGATAGGGGGGCTTCTTTTCCATCCTTGTATAAAACATATCCCAGAACTCGTACAGCATCAATCTCATCAACACAATCTACATTACAGAAAATTTTCAAATAAAAAATAAAGTGTGAATCTTAAAATAGATTCATCTACTCGAAAAAATTCAAAAAATTTTACTCCACTCGAATGAATATTCACCTTCAAGGCCTAACTCAATTAACTTGAGGTAGCCCCCTGGCATCAGACCTTCGCCGGCGATTCTCTCGGGTGCTTTTAAGTCCCTCTCGATCACTCGCACTCGACGTCCATCCTGCAACCCACAACCTCAAACACTCAAGACATACACAACTATTGCAATCTGCAGAACAAATAGCTATTAACAAATTTCTACTTCGAATCTATAGAAACTATGCATCATAACATATATATATTTGAACCTTTCCAAGAGAGTAGGCAAGAGCAGCACCGGCAACACCAGCGCCGACTATGATAATATCCGTCGTCCCATGAGCCTCACAGTTTCCAGTTTTGTTTGCAGAGTTTTCCTTTGGAAGCTCCATGGAAGCCGATCTTTTCACCTTGCTCGGTCCTCTAAATCTCATTAAAGAACTGTAGAACAAGAAAGCAAGCCCCGAAAGAGAAGCTATGGCACCTGCAAGTCCAACTATGTACGCCATGCAGATAGTTTCTTGTTTCCTTCACGGCTTTGCTTGTTCAAAAGGAGTGATTTATATAAAAATTTTGTCTTCGCTCATGGCTTCTATCGGTGTCCACTGGGATTGTATTTGATCCACATGTGGCTTATCTTTTTCCACCACTTGGCATTTCACTCACCGTCAAGGCTGCCACCTTTTTCTGCTGATAATCATAGTACTGATCTAGGTCGTGATATTTATAAAAAGGATAAAATACACATAGTATTGATCTAGGTTTACTACGAATGATAAATTTTTCTCCACCCCACGCAATTGAAACTAGACACAGTTACATCAAAAGGAAAGGAAGAGAAGAGACAAAATAAAGTTTGATTTTATTTAAATCGGGAATGATAAGTCTATGGCGACCCTACATATCTTTTCCTTCTTTCAATGTCTGGGCTTTGATTTATCCTAATACGGTTAAAGATAGGTTTTCTTCAACGAGATTCTTCTTCCTTCAAAAAGAAAATTGTGACGTTGACAATCAGATATTTATATAATATATCTAAATTTACTAATAATTGATTATCTAAGTTGAGTAACTAAAACGTAAACTTACTAATAATTGAGTGATCAAGATGTAAACAAAATGTTAGTGTAGTTTGAGTTTTAACGATACAATAACCTAATTGATTAATTACATGATTCAGTTATAATGTTTTGAAATACAATGATCTAACCGTAAACTTGCTAATAAAATGGAGTGACGTGTTATTTACCCTACTTTTTATCTTCAATTCTGCTTGAGCAAATGTCTCGTAAATTATTTGGCCAATAAGTCAACACATATTTTAATTTGCAATCGGTAAACTCGTCACATTGAAGTGACGAATTCGCTTGAAAATACTCTTTTATTGGTCCTAGATATACAAGTCTCATGTGAGCTAATATTTTAATATTTTTATTAGGACTCATCACGTCAAGGTGATAAGTCCACTTAAAATTTATTTAATTTCTTATATTCACTAAATAATTTAAAGTGACGAGTTTGTCTTGAATTTAAAAAAAAAGTAGTCGTTTGTAGCCGTTGCACAACAAGCAACTGTAATGGGTAGATTGCAACTCTCATCCTGGAACTCGTCACCTTAAAGTGACAGTTTGTTGGGATTTTTAAAAAAATTAGTAGTTTACGGTTGTTGGGTTTGGGGGTATAAATAGGGTTTGGGATTATGATTTTTTATTGTGTTTTGTTAAGATTTTTTTTGAATATTTTGAAAATTTCTAAAAAAATGTCTACTCACGATGAAATGTTACGCCTCGATGATATTCATATTTCTTCGCTCAAGCTTGGTCTGAAAAGAACGGAGCGTTTGTCAATGAGGAATGAGTCTTAGAGATCTTCATCAGTAGATTATTATATATTTGCAACAATCTAGGCTGTATCCAGTGACATTTTTACGTGGTTTTAAGGTGAACCTGGCATTGATTACGGCTCTCACTGAATGTTGGGGCCTGGAGACGTATATTTTTCATTTTTCAAGTGGTGAAACAACAATTGCGTTAGAACATGTCACTTACCAACTCGATGTTCTGGTTAATGGTGCGGCGATAATGAAAACAACAATTTAACCGATTCGGAATTGTTAACCAAATTTTGGGAAAGATGTATATACAACTGTAATATTAACAATAATTAGTTGAGTGGTTTATGTAACCTTTTTTGTGTTTGGTCAAGGCTTCTATCGGTGTCCACTGGCATTGTATTGTGGCTTGTCTTTTTGCAGCATTTGGCATCGCTCACTGTCAAGGCTACCACCTATTGCTATGCATGTAAATGAATCGAAGCTTCAGCGAATTGTTTTTGAATAGCTTAACATAAAGTTTGTTTATATGAATGAATATAAACAATATTTTATATCCGTTTGATTAAATGAACGAATACGAACAAATAACTCGTTCATTCATTTACGTTCGTGAATGTTCAATAATCTGTTCGTTTATATATGTTTGCTTAAGTTCATTCGTTTATATTCAGCTCAATCTCTAAGCTCGTTTATAATATTAAAACCTAAAAAATTTTAATCTTGAACCTATTCATATTTTAAAATTCAAATAAAAAATACCCAAATAAATTAAAGAAACTATAAAACCTAAAATTATTTGGAAAGAAAAACTCTTCTCAAATTTAAACTCAATTAACTTTATATTTGTTCGTTTATGTTCGTTTGCGTTCGTTTAATGTTTTAACGAATGAACAACAAGTTACATTCCTCAATGATTGAACACGAACAATAAAATTTCTTTGTTTGGTTGTTCGTGTTCATTTATTTGTTCGGTTAAAGTTAAACGAACGAACACGAACATACACTTATTCATGTCCGTTCAGTTCATTTACAGTTCTACCTTTTCCGGAAGATGATCATAGAATTTTATGATCATTCATGAAAATTTAATGTTTATTAAAAGGTTTATGGGTAAATTATAAATTCCATCCCTTAATTTTTTTTCACTTTTATTTTAATCATTAAAGATTATAAGTTTTCAATTTACTCATTAAAATTTTAGTTTATTCTTGTTTTGGTCACTCGGGTGTTAAATCATAAATGAAAGGATGGCATGACCACTTGTGTTGATGTGAATTACTTCTTATTGACATAGAATCCATATGACATCCATGTCATTTTTCCTTTTTCTTTCTTTTTTTGTTTTATCTTCTTCCTCCTAAGATATAAACGAACTCGTCTCATTG